TGCAGACCTACCTAGTCTTCTAGGTAGGCAGACAACAGGCACAAATCTGGTGTAATTTTTAAGGTCATTTATAAACAAAATTTTATCATCCTCAAATAAAAATTTAAAAATTCATGGAGAAGTAATATTTAAAGAAAATTTTAAAATGAAGAAATTTTATCACAACTAAGCAAGATATGCATAAAATATTTTTAAAAACACTGCACATAGAGGAAAATCTAGTTTTGACTGTGAAAATCCAGGATATAATACATTTAATAAAAATAATAAATGAACAAAACAGAGGTAGTATTACATAGCAGAAAAGAAACCAAACCCCTAAAACAGGTAAGAAAAACATCTATCATAACCTAATTAAAATGTCCAACAAAGCCACAAAAATAGCAAACCATTTCAATAACAATCTTAAATGCAAACATACTTAGCTCATAAAAAAACAATATCTAGTTATATTATAAGTCCTAGAAATACACACTTCACTGGTAAAGACACACTAAACACAGGGTAAAAATATGAAAGAAAATATAAAACAACCAAGAAAAACTAAGGAAAAAAAGCTGGTTCAACTTTCACACCAGTTATATCAATCTAAAGCTAAGTAAGTCAGGAAAGACAAAGAACTTATTACTATATAGTAATAAGAAGAAAGTTCATTAAGAAAATACAAAAATAAAAGCATTGGAAATCATGACAAGAATGTGGAAATTAAATGTGAAGAGCTAGAGAAAGTCATATCATGTAAAAGAAAAAAAAAAGGCACAATGGTTTGCCACAAAACCAAGCTATTATTTGGTTTCCAGATGGAGTCAAGAACACAAGGATCCAGAGTTCACATGCAGATTTTATTTTATTTTTGTCTTACAAAACAAACAAAAAAACCTTTACAGATGTTAAAAGTTAATTGTAAGCATGAATGGATAATCAAGGGATTATGAAGCTTTATTTCCATAAAATCTGAGGAAATAGGAGGTATACCTCTCTGTCACTGGCAGACCACAGTTTTTGTTGCAGCTGTGACATGTACTCTGTAGTCAGTGACTTACAGTAGCACTAATGTATTATCACCCCATTCCTGTGGGCTATAAGATGAGACACAGGGTGACTTAGTTTAGTCTTTGCTTAAATGTTCAAAATACTGAAATTAAGGTACTGGCTGTACTTCTTTCTCATGGCTTTGGAGATGAGATACCTTCAAATTCAATCAGGTTGTTAGAAAAATTCTGTTCTATGAAGTTATAAGGTGAAGGTCCCTATTCCTTTGCCACCTATTCTGAAGACTATCCTACACCTTCTTTTATCCTGTCTTCTATCCATATTTACAGCCATTTATGCATGCCTTTGGAAATGTAAGCCTTCTACCTTATCTCTCCTATCTTCTCTTTTTTTATGGCTCCTATGGTTGCATTTAGCTCACTTCAGTGGTCCAGGGTAATCTTCTAATTTTAAGGTCAACTAATTTGAAACACTTAGTTACATTTGCAAAGTTCTTTCACAGAAGTTCTTATGTCTGATTTAATAACTGGGGCCTAGGAATCTTGCAAAAGTGGGAATCTTTAAAATTATGCTAACCAGAACCAGTAAATACTATTTGTTTTTCTTGTTTCCTTTGTTATGTTTCAGGTATTAGCCAAAGTTGACAAAGGCTAAACATAGTGTAGACTACTGTTATTTTTTCTTGTTAGGTTGTGTAAAATTCAAGTATTAATGATTATTCTCTGAGAACACAGAAAAATGACACCTGCTGAGTTCTTTCAACCAATCAAACTGGCAAAATTCCCCATCATAATTGACCGAATTTCATTATCATTCACCACTGCTATCATTGAAAAGCAAACCTTTTAAATTTTCTATTCTATTCATTACAATATATGATTACTGAATTTATATATTTCCACAGAGTACAACCGTTTTTCACTTATGGGTCAATTAATTTGAATAAATTTATAAGTAAATAAGCTATTAATCCATAAAAATACAATTTCTACTACAACAAAATGAATCATCAAAGATATATTTCTATATTTTAATAAAGAATCAGAGCATGTATCATTTTTAGCTCTCAAATTAGGTTATACTTTGTTATTTGACAATTTGATTACTAAGGTTATATGGTGAGATTACATTGATGTTGTATCCACTAATTTGGGTATCTAAACTGTCATCTCTAATCCCCTCACTGACATATGCATCACTTTGAAATAAAATAAATGGAAAAATAAAATGATATTCTATTATTTGTTACTTCATAGTTATCAAGTTTGTTGGGAAACTATGAAAACCCTATGTAGTTCATTCTCTTCAACTGCATAAACATATACAATGTGCTGATACATATATCATTAGCTTGCCAATCAGAATTTATGGTAGAAATTTAAGCTTTTCCAAAATTGCTATAAGTTCCAAATACTCATGCCTTGGAGATACTTTCTATCCCTTAGCTACCACCATATCTCTTTCACCACAATACCTCAAAAGATATGGCATACGCGAGACCTTCAACTGTGAAGGAGTTCTGGTCCAGAAGAGAAAATGAGAGAAAGAAACAGTAGCACTGAGAAAATTAGTAACATTCAGGTGGCATAAGACATGATATCCTCAACCTGCATACTTACACACACACACAAACACACATACATACATTTTTATTTATTAGTATTATATATATGTGGATAAGTGTGTGCATGCTATGGTACATGTGGGGCAGGCATAGAATACCATTCAGTTCCCGCCTTCCGTGTTAGGTTTTGAAGATACAATTCAGATTTTCAAGTGTGCATAACAAGTGCTCTTACCCCTTGAGCCATCTCACTGGTCCCACTGCCTAAATTCTTAAGTGTTTAGTGCAAAAAAGTCATGCTCAGTCCTTCTGTGTTAGTTAGGTCTATTTCCACAGTACAAAGCAGACTAATTGGGACATAGATAATACAGTTCCAAAAATCAGAACCCTTAAACAAAAGCAAGCAGATGCTTAGAACAGATGAGTCATTCAATCAAAATTTCTTTAGGTTAAAAACAATATAGATGCTACCATGCTACCAAACAATATCCACTAAGCACATATATTTACAAGCAGACTTCATCTTTGTCCCATTGTGAGTTTTTAAGTGTACATGTGAATCCAGAAGAATAGTTATTCAATGCAATTTTTTCCTTTTGTCTCATGAGCACAAATCTAAAGTTTCTTTTTGTGTCAGTAGATTGAAAGTTCACTGGGGAGAAGAACTATGCTCTTTTCCACTGTATCATTGGGCCCTAGGGGAGTATTAACATAATGCAGATGCTCAATAAAGAGCTTTTGAAATAATATAGAAACTAATAAATCAACATTTATTTTTCCTGATTTCAATATAAACAGCTATCCAAACCATAAAACTCCAAAGCATGATTTATATAGTGATCATGAGGGATTCCCCATATTCTTCAATGGACTCTTCATGATAAATAATCCAACTCACGATCTCTATCATGAACCCTGCTTAGTCTTATAACATGGATGTGTGTTTTCATATCCAGGAAGAAAAGCAGCACGAGGCAGACAGGGAAGTGCTGGGAATCATTAAAATAAAAGCCCAGAGATAAACAAAATGATTCTACCAAGGGACAAAGTTCTTACTTAGTCCTGTTGTATCTTGTGATGCTTTATTCAGTTGATATCCCTTGTAAGTCTGCACTTTTCTGAGGAGAAATAGGGTAGAGGTGGATCTGGGGGAATGAGGATGTGGTGGGGGATAGGAACAAAAGTGGAGGAAGGGAAATTTGTGGTTGGGATGTATTGTATGAAAGAATTTTTTAAAGAGTATAAAACAATTACAAAGAAAAGGAAATCTGAAAGCTCAAACCTTTAAGTGCTCTGAACATAAACAACACAGGTATAATTCTTTTTTTAAGGAGTAGAAACACCAAGAAAACACTGAGACCAAACAAAATTCCTCCAGATGCAAGAATTAGATACAATTTCAGGTAATCTGTGTAGCTAAGGCTCTAATAGAAAGGCTGCTGGCTGAAAACAGAAGGGGGTCTCAGAAAGCTACATCAACATTAAGAAATAATTCTAAGAAAGGGAGCAAGAATAAGGATGCCTCATGGTCTATGAAGAACAAGTGGAAGCCAGAAAATAGAGAGGGGTGCTTAGAAAAAAAAGATGCCTTAAGGGAAGATATAGGCAAAATGAAATTGAAGGAGTAGAATAGTAGGGGTAGAAAGGCTGAAACAATGAGAGCATGGGAATATCAAAGAGATCACATGGTGAAAGGAGGGGTAACCCAAGGGAAGAGTCATAAAAAAACACACAAAGTCTACTGTCTCACAACACAATGAAAATATAATGGAAGAGAGTAGATTCATGTGATGTAAATGATCTGTGGGAAATACTAAAGGTTAAAATATTAAGCATGGATAAGAGGTGGGAAATGGAGGAGGAGGAGACAGCTTGGGAATTAGTCAAAACTAAGGATGTGTACAGAAGACTTATGGAAACCCATTAGTTAGCAAGAAAATTTCAGCATAGAACTTAAAAAATTAGTTTTTCTGGATGTACCTTGCACAGGTAGACCATGTGGCTCCCAAAAGACATGAGTTATGAAATACAAATTACAGTGCAAAGTGTAGAGGTTTTCCTTACAAGTTATTGGGCAGGGAGGCCCTAGAAGCACCCAAAATAACATACACTATTGCAATTGCTTACCATAACTGGATGGTCAGACTCCAAAATTGAAGACACCGCATACTTTAACTATAGGACATAGAGAAATCAATTGCAAACCAAACAGGATACTTCCTCACTGCTAAACAACTTTCATAGTACAGGAGATGCTATGTAGAATTCAAGCAGAGTAAGAACATGAATAATTTCACCCAGCACTGAACCCTACATGCTATAATAACAATCTCCAAGCCAAGATGTGTCTACTGATGCAACAGTGGCATGAAGGTTGTTGGGCAAGGAGCCACTTTGCTTTCTGATTAGATATGAGGCATGTTCTATAAGTCCATGTCTGGGCTTTGACCCTGGAGGGGTTACAGGTGTGGCTGCTGTGTCACATGTGCCTTAGTAAGTGGCATAAGGGAGATAGGCTACATCTATGCTCAGTGTTCTGACCTATAAACATCTGAATGATTAGTAGACTAACATTTCATAAAATAGCAAGCCTGAGATGGCCACCAATCTGATGCCAGGCAGGCTCATATAGGCTCCCAGGACTTGAGCATGCCAGAGACTAGAGGAATTCTGCCTGGGCCTGAGGGCTTTGGGCAGTGGTGATCCCAAGATAGACAACTCTCACAAAAGGCCACTCTGTCAGGACAGGGGAGAAGCAAGCCAAGGCAACCACCAGACAGGTGCCATGGGGCCTAGACAGGAAGCTAACCTGAGATGATGACCAGTCTGGCACCTTGGTGGACAGAACTTGCCTGAGATGCCCCCTGTCCTGTGCCATAATGCAGGAGAGGGGCAGACCACTCCTGAGATGATCCCAGACACTCAGAGTCCCTAGGCAACACCAAGATGGGCAAGTAAATGGTGGAGAAATGGAAGATAAAAAGAAATAAAAGGATGTGAGCACAATGAAGAGAGATAGAACTGGAGAATTTAAGATAGTGAGGGACAGCCTGATATGAGCCACCAGTAATGTCACCTGGGACCATGATGGGGTCCTGATCTGTACTACCACCAGGGGCCGCATCTGGGCCTGTGGCTCTGAAGCATCTGGGGTCTGTTATCACCAAAGGCTAGGCAGAAATTCCTAGTCCAAGCTGCCACCCAGGAACATGTTGATATTTGAGGGGTGTGTAGACCTGGCCCCAGCCCTCACCTGGAAATCATGGGAGAGATGTCGTTGGAACTATGAGAGTAAAAGAGCTGACCCTGTCTGAGCCAGCTATAGTATTCAAGAGAGCATGCCTACACATTACAAGAGTTTCAGGTGTCCTTCCCTAGGGATATGAGAAAGGAAGATTTGGGCCTACCACTTGTCTCCTGAACAGCGACGTGGACAAGGGAGAAATAACCTCTTTCTCCTTCAACCCTCACTGTGTGCCACTTGAGGCAAGCATAAGACTTTGCCCCGAGATCATGAGAGCAGGAAAGCTGTCCCTGTCCCTCACCAGCTACAACACTCTCGAAAGCAGGCCCTGTACCTCACCAAGGCAGCAGGATAGAACTTGCCCTTAGGATTTGCTAGTGACCTGGTCACAAGGGCATGAGAATGGAAGAGCTGGTGAGATGATCATCTCAGATCCTCCCAAACCCAGATTTTGAGTTGGCCCATACTAACAAGCATCTACTCCATTGATGAACTGCTGGGGTGCATGACGGGACTGGTTCTTCAGATTGAAAACCACATTGGATTGTATTGGATCTCAATGACACAGGACAACCACAGTATCTCCAAGAGTGGTCTCACTGAAGAGGTTCTAGTACTGATAGAGTAGCCAGAGGCCTCATACCAGACACATAAAACATTGCAATCAACATTTTCAAGCAAAGAAATGTGAACAAAAGGGTACATGGTAGGACACGCTGTGACACACTATAGCTTCCACAACAAGATTCTTAGTTTTTTTTTTCTCTGTTCATAGGAGGTTGGAAGGGTGGAGTAAAATATGAGAGGGAGAAGAAAGGAGTGGTAATGGGATACATAATGTGAAATTCACAAAGAACCAATATAAAGTGTTTCTAAAAGTACATGGCTGGGGAGGTCATAGGCTCTATGATAGAACCTACTGTTGCTATTTTGTTAAATGGTCACATTGCCAAATAGACTTTTAAATACCTAGGGTACCTTCAATCTTACTCAGAGAAGATTTTTGGCATTGGGAAGCCATCAATGAAGAGACTAGTAACTGGCTGAAATATAAATAAGAGACTGCAAATACAATAACTATAGCACATTTATCAATGACCCCATCCATCACCAAGACTCCAGAAAAGTCACAGGAGGGGTGCAAATAATTAAAGGAGATGAAGGATGGGGAGAGCTGTGTAAAGCATCTTCAGTGGGTGACATGGTTATTGTACCCTAGAGCACAAACAGTCGTGGTTATCTGGACAAGAGTTATACAAGATCAAGCCAAGCAAAATTCCAGCATAGGTGGAGGAGGCCCCACTCTTTACTGAAGAGACTATTGGCAGTTGGTAGTGCTCTGGGATAAAGAAGGTCTTATACTAAACACATATGAGATGAAAAATGAAACTTAGTGGAATATCACACATACAACAAAGACATGAAATTAAGAAGAGAATGTGTTGTGATACACGGTAAATTGAAAGTGCAATAGGATAGATATAATCATAGACCCATATATGGAATTGTCAATAATAAGACAATGCTAATAAAAATAAATTCTGATCATCTGGCTACAATTTCAAATTCTAGGCATTAAGGCAAAAAGAAAAAGTTAAAATGTTATTTAAATTGCTGCCCACAAGAAGGAGGACAGTGTAGTAATTTGTATCTATGTAAGTTATTCATCAACTTAAAAAAATCCCAATATTTTCTGTGAATTATGAGGATACCAAATTTAGAGTCTCTTTACTATTAGTATTTCTAAAGCTGAGGAAAGTAATCTACAGAATTCAGGGATATGCACTAACATAGAATGTACTATCAACAGAAAGAAACTAAAAACTGTTGTCTAATTAAGCAAAATGAGATAAAGAAAACATGGGACCAAGTTTAGAATTCAAACATATGTGATTATAAAACTCTTCAGTGGTTTCATCAATACATTAAAGATGACAATAAAAACATAATCTCAAAACTGAAGTTCGGTTTATGGAATGCATCCAATTTAGAGACGAGAAGTAAACAATGTCATCTGGCAGTGTTGTGTGTGTACTCACTGTGTTTACGACTGAAGCACAGTTAGCAAAAGGGAGAGGGACCAGCATGAGCAGATCTGCATAAACCATCAAGGAACACTCTATAAAACTGCTGAAAGACAAGCAGTTCGTATATAAGGAGCACAATTAATAAAAGTAGGATATTAGAACAAAGAAGTAATTTCAGGAAGGAATCTAAATTTTAAGCTAGAACAAGGAAGTAGGCGTCAGATATGAAAATGACTTTGGGCTAGGACAGGGAAAGTAGGCTCAGGTATTTTGGTCATCTGATAAGACCTTAGAAACAGTGATCACAGAAGTATTCACGTAATTGGGTTTAATACCTTGCTTGTTCCTTGACTATTTGTGCTTATTGTCTTGCTTGTTCCTTGCCTATCTGTGTATTGCTAGACCCTTAACCTAGAACTGACCTTAATACATGCATGTAATCAAAATGGTGTAAAAGCAAAAAGGAAGAGGAGGGATGGGATGGGGGTTCTAGGGAGGGAAAATGAGGAAAGGGGGTGGCATCTGAAATGTAAATAAATAAAATATCCAATAAAAAAGAATAATAAATTCATATAATTATAAATCATCAATATTTACTGCATAAATATAAAAAGTCAATATAGTCATAAATAATGATTACTAAAATAATTTGTTAATAAACATGCCTCTTAAAAGATAAATAAAAATACAAAATAAATAAAAGTAGGATAAAATTTTAGAATCTCATGTGTAAAATCAAATGGCATTCTATACGTAATAAAAGAAGTTATTTAGATATGTGAATGTCAACACAAACAGAAGTGAAGAACATGTTTATACCACTGAAATGTTTTTAGAGTATGAAAAATTTGAAATCCATTAAAATATATTTCCATAATTAAGTAAAAATAAAACATTTTAAAAAGAGAAAAACAAAATTTGTCACCAGCAGAGGTACCTTGAATGCCTTACTAAATAAAATTTCTCAACCTAAAGGAAGTGTTACCATGAGGGACTTGGAAGGAAATAGGAACACTTTAGATAGCAAATACAATAGCAAATATAAGAATCAATTTAATATTATTTAAAACATAAGACTATCTGTTGGGATTATCATATGTCTATAGACTGTGGATGTAATACATCTGCCCTCTCCAAAAATGTATTAATGCTAAACTATTGTTTAATATTGAACCTGTTTCATAATCTATGGATTTATCTCATGTAAGAATTGAGCATAGTAACAAGGTATCTAAATCATCCTATAAAGGTACTCCCAAAGAAGAAAAGCATAATCTATGACAGGAATGAAAATATTAGAACTAAAAATTAATGTTTTTTTTTTAAATTTTGCTAGCTTGTACATTTTAGATTTGGAGTACATTATATGTTTTTTATAGATTTCTTTTTAAATTTTTATGTATTTCTTTTTATTTTATCTGAGTATACACCTGTGTGAAAACCAGAATGGGTATCAGATCCATTGGGGCTAGAATGGTAGGTGATTGTGAGCAGCGGATGTGGGTACAAGGATGGCAATTCAGGTCCTCTGGAAAAACAAGTACTCTTAACTGCAGAGCCATCTTTCGAGATCCCAGGATTCTACCTCTGAAAAGCCTGTATACATAATGCATTAAATACTATCCAAATTCCTTAATCCATTGAACCTTTTTTGAACTTTTTTATTTTTGAGATTATACTATAATTACATCAATCCCCCCTTTCTTTCCTCCTTCCAATATGCCACTTCTTTAAATTCATGGCCATTTTTCCTATTAATTGTTGTTATATTCATACATGTATATAAATACGTATTTCTAAATATAACTTACTCAGTCTACATAATGCTGTTAGTATGCATGTTTTCATGGGTGATCATTTGGTGTTGGGTGGTCAGTTGGTGTGCTATACCTTGGGAAAGATCATTTCGCCCGCTAGCTGCATTCTTAAGTTGTGTGAAGTTCTTTGTGTATGTTAAAGGCCTCGTAGACTTTTCTTGTCCACTTTGGAATGCCTATGGTTTTTGTACTTGTTCAGATTATGCATAGGCACTCATATTGGTGAGACTTTATAGGTATAGATTCTGACATTTCTAGAAGATGCAAACTCCTTGATCCTTTGACTCTTACCAAATGAAAAAAAATAAATAAATAAATGTGTGTATTCTTTTTGAAGTGATACTGTCATTTCAAAGATGTATTTGAATTTCTGATTGTGATACTACTTTATCCAAATATAATACAGCATGCTTTCAAAACTCAATACTACACTTCGATCTCTGATCCTGAACATTATTGGATTTCAAACGCTGGCTAGAGTGATATT